TACTGTTTTATATATTTATAACAACATTGTCAAACAGATATCTTTTACAAAAAAGTACTTTTTTCTAGATGATGGGTACGTTGTTATCGACGACTGAACAGCAATTTTTAGTGAACGACATAACGTTTAGTGAATATATATAACATTGGATTTGTCAGATTTCTCTGCATCATTGGACTTCAGGCAGTAACGGATTAAATGAGTTTTATCAACCTACATAAAACTCATTTTATTGTGAGTTTTGGAGTCCTTGTGCTGACGGATTAAGAATACGGAGTGTCACCGCCCCTATTCACTCCGTAAGTGTCGTAAGACTAAGAGAGCAAACTACGCAGGACAATAGCACTGCAATTAGAAGGAAATCTGGAAATCCCGTCTGGCCAGCGCGGTATAGTAGGTCGAAACCTCGTTTCTAAAGAGAGGCCTATGTCCAGCAGTGGACTATTAAAGTGATGTGATGTAGTGATTGCCTTTCATTCATATGTTTTTTATGGCATAGGGAGTACAGACGGTTCACCTGATGGTAAGTGACTAAAAAAAACGTCATTCTAAGGTAACAAACATAAAAAATACAACCTAACAGATTACTACCTGGGAACAGAAGAAGAAGGCAGTTAATTTTAATTAGTCAAGACAAACAAATGAACAATTTAACCACGCTACAGATCATCCATTAAAGCATTCAATTGTCTCTCATTAATCAAAACGATTCGATCATAGAAACAACTATTCAATGAGCAATAAATACATCTTCAGATAGCTCGCTGACGTCACCCTTTAAACATACTTCTTTAGATAGTGTAAAATGAAGTCGCTTCCTGTACTTATACGCTCAGATCTTGCAAACTACGAAAGGGATTTTAATGCGGTTTTAATCAATGGAAAGTGATTCAAGAGGCGGGTTAATATGTAAGGGTTCATCACATCACATCACATCAACAGCCTTTAATAGTCCACCGCTGGACATAGGCCTCTCCTTAGAAAGGAGGTTTTGGCCTACTATACCACTCTGGCCAGACGAGTTGGTATAGGGCTTCTGTCAAGTTTTCCTTCTCTCTGCAGTGCTGTTGTTCTGCATATAGTTTTCTCCCTTAGTCGGCTCTTACGACACCCACGGGATGAATAGGGGTGGTGACAGTCTGTTTTCTTAATCCGGGTTAATTATAAAAAAAAAGGGTTAAAGGGTTAATATACATGCATATTAAACTCACAGCGCATTGCACCAGCGGGAAGCCGGGGCGGATCGCTGGTAAACTATAAATGTCGTCTAAAAATTACTGCGATATACTTTTATGTAAATATATAAATATTCCGCACAGTCTAGACTACTTGTATTACGCAACGCTGTACACTAGGCTAAATGGTTGAGACGATCATTGCCTATAAACTTAATATCGTTATGGTGATATAAATAGCCTATTGCCGGAATGGGAAATAAAGATGGGAATATTGAGAGCATATTGAAAACAAAGGACGATAAAAGGGGAAGGCATGAATTGGGGAGTGGTCAAAGACAACTCCCGCACTTGAAATATATCCTGTATCGCGGCGGACTTTACAAACATACATGAAACGGACACAAAGAACACCCAGACTCAGAAGGATCACACAAAGTGTCGTCCCATATGGGGATCAAACCCACAACACTCAGCGTAGTAGGCAGCGGCGTGGCGACCGCTTAAAATACTACGCCACCTGTGCAGTCTTACTTACTTAAGCAATACAATCAATAAACGGATATAAACAAAATGTTTCATACACATAAGCGTCATTTAAAGTTCATTCTTTAACTTTTTTTCAATCACTCCAGAACTAGGTCTGGATGAAACTCGTGAAACGTACTTGTGACTCCTGTCTTTCAGGCGGCGGTAGTCACTTCCTATCAGGGCCTCAATTCTGCTATTTTATGTTCACGCCAATCCATTGTCATACCACTGACACGCTACTGAAATGCCATCGAGTGGCCATTGGCATCGGTATAAATATCGGTAGTCTACACTAACTCAGTGTCTTTACAGTGGCGATGAAATAGCAGTGGCTCATCAGTGGGGATATCAAAAAGTTTGCTATATTTGGAAAAATAAATACATCATTTCCTCAAAAAAACGTGATATATTTTCAAATTCTAAGGAGGTCACCCAGGTCACCCGACCCCACCCATTAAAAAAATTACACAGGGTTAAATTATATTCTGGAATCGTAAAAAATGTCTATTCTCGAAAAAGAATCTCAATGGATTGGGGTTGGGATTCCTTGGGTTTTCCCAAGCGGAACCGCGGGTAAATTTAAGTTATGATACATTAGCAAAGGGGCACACCGCATTAGGATTCAGGACTGAATACCTAAGCCGACATCCCCGATACGACACAAGGTGGGAATTGAATACGATGATATTTACGAGCAGAATTGTAATAAAGGAAACCCATCCCGTTTGTAATATACTGTATGTAGATAGAACTCATTTCACACCTCGATTATATGTATAGATAGATAGATATTCTTATATGTAGCGATGTAACGATATATAACCTCAATTTAGCCACAATAACTAGGATTCGCAGTTTTAAGCGACTTTAAGAAAAACCATGTGCCAAAATATTTCTACATGATCATAGAATTAATGTATGTTTTGAAAAAAATACGAAATTCAGTTTTTACCATATTTGGATACTACTTTTTTTATGTTAGAGGGGGCAGACGAGCAGACGGGTCACCTGATGGTAAGTGACCATCGCCGCTCATGTCATGACATTGACCAAATATTATTATATAGTAAAATTCAAGAAAAATTTATATTTTATTCAGTGTTTGTTCGATAGGCGCTCAAAGTAAAATGAAGGGTGTGATTTTTCTAGAAAATTATATAATTATTAGTTGTTATTTTTATGGCATTTTAAAACAAAGCCTTTTTTTCACTTGTGTGCCCATTTTTATAATTACACATTAAGAATTAAAAAAGGTGTCAAAAAACTGGCTAATTATTTAAAATGGCTGCCCAGTAAAGTTCAATAAATGTCAGATCCGACGCTATTCTATGACTATAACGATTTTATTTAAATAGTGTTCGACTTCAAAAACACAAAATGCTGTTTTAAGTCGTTTACGACTTCAAAAAAAACCCTAAAGCCTGCTAAGTTCGGTCTGGATTCAATTTCTATTACAAGAGTTTCTGTATTGAACTTATAAATGCCTGAAGAGATTTGGACGGTTTTTAACCGACTTCAAAAAAAGGAGGAGGTTATCAATTCGACTGTATTTTTTTTTTATGTTTGTTACCTCAGAACTTTTGACTAGGTGAACCGATTTTGATGATTATTTTTTTATTTGAAAGCTGGTGCTTCCCGTATGGTCCCATTTCAATTTGGTTCAGTTCTGATAATAGCATCCATGAGAAAACCATATTAGTCTTAAATTTGCATTTAGTATGTTCGCGACAAATAGACGAATAACTCAATATCACGCAAACCGATATCGATAATTCTTTTGTTATTTTATTTTTTATTTTGTAAATTATTTAATTGAGTAAAATTTAAAAATTGTTCTTTAATAAACTTTTTCTTTCTTTACCTTAAAATCTTACGTCATGCTTAGTGACACTGGTTATGGTTTTTTTAATCCGCTCTATGGTTCCATTTCGAAATTTAAAAAAAGTCGGTTCGTATTTTTTTAATTTTCACTGTTTAAAAACATATCTATCCGTTATGTTATGTCCGTATGTATGATATATCTGTTATATTATGTTATCCGCTATGTTTAAATACATTATCCGTGTGGTGAAGGATTAAGAATACGAAATGTCACCACCCCTATTCATCCTGTGGGTGTCGTAAGAGCCGACTAAGGAAACAAACTGCACAGGACAACAGCACTGCAAAAAGAAAGAAAACTTGAAACAAACCCTATACTAACCCGTCTGGTCAGCGTGGTATAGTTGGCCAAAACCTCCTTTCTAAGCAGAGACCTATGTCCAGCAGTGGACTATTATAGGCTGTTGATGATGATGATGATTAAATGCATAGGAGAAAATTAAGTTCTTAGCATCATCAAAGACAAACGCTCGTTTAATGATATAAAGAAAGTGACAATGTATGACGAAATTAAAAGAAGGCTACGAAATCATGATCGAGATATACATTTAGATAAAATATATCTCCGAACAGCCATCTCACACACGGACGGCAATTATTCACTCAAGGATCCTGATAAAACTCTGTGTTATTTGAAATTGGACTAAATCGTGACGTAAAGTCTTATGTTAATTGAAGACAAGACAAATACTAAATTGCCTTGTATTTACACATATAGTGCTAACAGTCTATAGAGCTAAAGGGACAAACACCAATAATAATTTTCCACATATAATTTTAGTCCGGTGGGACTTCGAATTCTGATCAGACGTAGTGCGAAACCGCTTTTAATCGGGTTTTAATTATTCTTTTTTTATCGGATAAAGTATTTATTGAGAATTAATCTAGACTAGTAAACATCAAGCTGCGACCGTTAGGAACGAAGCAGTGACCATAAACAGAAGTAAAAACTGTATACGACAATTAGTTTTAAATACATATAGACTAGTTATACGTAATACATTCTCTGAATATGAAAATAGGACCAGGACACGACACTACAATGATAGATAACAGTATGTTATCACTATGATTGACACATCTTATTGTGTGGCACAAAACCTATCTGCTTATGTCAAGACAAATAGAACGTTGTTGACTGTTGATCTACGATTGAAGGTGTACGACGATTTTATATAAATAATACCAAGACTTTGTACGCGTGGAATATGAAAAGCGCTGTTGTCATTCGAAATCACGATTTACTTGATATCTAAGACAATGTTTTGTTTAAGACAACTCCCGCAATAGAAATATATCCTGCGTCACACAAGTGTGTGGATCACACAAGTGTTACCCTATGTGTGGATTGAACCCACAACACCCGTGAGGTGAGGTGAACGCTTTGTCGATAATATAACAAATGCCACATACTTTGTCCAGATAACCCTTGCCGGTGGGGTCGGAGAGGTCCCATATCTTGCTGAGCACCACATCGCTGAGCCGGGACTTTTTGAGGAATCGCGCCGCGTCCAGCGCCTGGATAGTTCCAGCGCCATTGGGGTCGACCTGCAATAAAAGCGTTAATTGCTTAGTTTAACTATTACTAACATGTCTTGCTTTAATTCTAGACCCTACTAGGACTACTTCAACTTTTTTATAGGGTAAAACGAGCAGACGGTTCAATAGATGGTAAGTGACTGCTTCCGTACATGGACACTTCAACTCAAAGTGTCCCAAGTGTGTCGCAACCCTGTGAGGACTCCCAGAGATAAGGGGGAGGAGGATTGGGCTCTGGTAACCTCACTCCTTCGGTGAAAAACAACGATAATCTGTGAGGCCGTAGTATCACACCAGTCGAGCAGGCCCGTATGGCTCTCATACGGTTAACCAACTCGAGGAGAGTTAGGATGGGATGGCTAGCGGCATCTTCAATCACAAAACGGATATACTGGTACCAACGCGAACAAGGCCTCGAGCTTTGAGCTTATGCGGTCTCAGTCCATTTTCCTCAACCGAGACTCGTGGTCTGACCGCTCACCGAGAAGTCATGTTGACTGACTTTACTCTGTTCTTTTATTTTTTGTTTCTTTTTTTCTATTCCCAACGCTTTTCGCTTTATTCAACAACAGAATATTTTTGGAGTTAATACCATGTACCCGAAATTCTCCAAATGGACTACAGTGTGTGTTTTTTTAAGAAATAAGCATATATGTTTTTCAAGAATCACCAAAGTGGCAAACATCCAACCTATGGATGCCTATAACCGTTAACCATGGCAGACTTAGGCACACCTGGTGCCTATTATTTAATGGCCAACTATGTGGTAATAATAATAACTGAATAATAACCTCACACATCTCACACAGAGCCGTTTGATTCCAAAGCAGGCGGAGCCTGTGCTATGGTAACCAAACTGCTGATAAACATACTTATATAAATTTCTAAATACATCCATATTATAGATAAATTTCATCCACACAGAACAAGTCATCATGCTCACACAACAGATCCAATGGAGCGAATTTTTACTATCAAATATTACATAATACTGGTTAATTTCTATTGAACAATATTAATTCCATAAAAGGCACTCTTCAGTCTTCTGCATTGGCAAAACAAGAAGTGTCGTAGTGTGACAACTAATAGAAAAAGCTAGATGATTCAAAACCTGTGATACACATTTAATGAAGATTTTCCACCATGGGGGAGCCATGCTTTTTCTATGGTCAAACAAGTAGAATGTTTACCAGATAGTAAGTGACTACTTCCGCACATGGTGACTTACAGCTCAGAGTCCCAAGTGTGTCGAAGCCTTGATTAAAAAAAAAAATATGCACTGGCCTCCACTAGACCATAAAAACATTACACACAACTTCCCCTTAAATTAATACCTGTTGTTAATACATAGCAGAATCTTGAGCAATTCCTTAATTTATTTAGTTTAATTATTTCTTTAAAATTTGCAAAAGAAAGATAAGATTTGAACTACCAAGTACTGAATATAAAGAAACACCTGCTTTTAGAAGCCTTTACATTTTTTTTACGGAAGAGGGTGCAAACGAGCACACGGGCCACCTGATGGATAGTGACTCCCGCCGCCCATTAACGCCTGCAACTCAGGAGTCACAAGCGCGTTGTTGGCCTTTGAGAAAGGAGTACTATCTTTTCTTGTGCAAGGTAAAAAGTGTCTTGGAAAGTGCACAGTGGTGGAGCGCCAATTATCTAAGTGATGGGGATGAAAAATCTATTAAAACCACCAGTTTTTACCAGACACACGTACCACAATTAATAGTGTTACTCCAAAAGAAAGCCTTCACCATACTAGCACACTCACACTGATTACGTAAGGACTCATAGAGATGACCAAAAAAAAGCAATGCCATAGTACAAGTTAAAATAATATCAAACTGACAGCATGATGATAGTTAAATGAATATAAAGAAAAAAAGAAAGAATTACATAATTTTAAATATACATATAGTTTCAGATTAAATTTAACAAACAAATATGTCATGTCAACATGTCAGGGTTTAAGGGTATGTTCCATAATGAAAACTAATTGGACAGTCTAATACTAACACTGCAAAGAGAAGGAAAACTTGACACAAACCATATACCAACCTGTCATGCCAGCATGGGATAGTAGGTCAAAACCATTCTAAGGAGAGGCCTATGTCCAGCAGTGGACCTATAAAAGGCAAAGGGCTTTTTAAATATATTTAACTACATAAAATCTTGGCTTTAGTGACTGAATAGGCCTTTATGGGACTTTAAATAAATATGGACTGTATTAAATATTATATTCGTATATAGGTAAATTAACATAAAGAAATGGCCATAGTGGAATGGGTCTAAGGGCCGAGTAGTGTGAGGACCGCGGCGTACGAGGCAGCGAGCTACGATCCCCGCAACCCGCGCAGGCCACCGATGGTTCGCAACCGAGATCAGCTACATGTATTGGTGCGCCGACAGTGACTAAATTTTGAATTTGTAGTCTTTAAATAAGCCATAAATTGAAAAAAATACTGAAAGGGATCCATTCATTAAAAGTAAAAAATAAATCCTAATAAGATCACTTTTCTCCATCTCTGTGTCCGTTAAGATTTCTTTTCATGTGAAAATTTACATGACAATAAGCCATTAAAGGTTTTAAAATCATGTTTGATTTGATTTAAAACTTATATTTTAAGATGTCACAACAAAATTTAAACTCACTCCTATAGTCCTAACATCATAAAACCCAGTGAGCAGCATGAGTTAAGTAACAATTTTGATACCCTTTAGTTTTAAGTTTTTTAAGTTATGTAACATAAAACAGAAATTCTTATATCTTTCATTTAGATTTACTGAATGTATGAATATCTCAACTCAATAAGGTATTGTATAAGGCTCCAGGAATTAGTAACAATTGTAACTTAAAGAATAGCACATGCAGTCTTTTAAAACTGTGTTCTCCACAATTCGCCACCCCTATTCAACCTGTGGGTGTCGTATGAACCGACTAAGGGAAAAAACTATGCAGAACAACAGCAATGCAGAGAAAAGGAAAACTTGACACAAACCCTATACACACCCGTCCGGCCAGCATGGTATAGTAGGCATAAACCTCCTTTCTAAGGAGAGGCCTATGTCCAGCAGTGGATTATTAAAGGCTGTTGATGTGATGTGATGATGATGAAACATTTCTAATGCATAAATAAGCTTTATCCATGAATCCTTTTTGGTGTAAGTTTCTGTCGTCGGTTTACTCATTAATTAATCATTCTGTCTGTGAAACGTTTGTAGCGGAAAGATTTTGTCGTTGATTAGGTCTTATATCAAATGTTTTGTCGGCGAACCATTCATATTTGAAAGGTTCTGCACAACTCATAAACTAAACATTCTGTCAGCGTCTCATTTGGCAGCAAAATGTTTGTCGGAGTTTAATTTTAGAATCCGCTTAAAGCCAAATTATCATACATATAATAATTATGGAGATTAAGAATGTAGTTATGAGATAAAAAAAAAACTTACTACATTATCTCTAGGTGAGTCATTATAAAAAAAAACTACACTTATTTAAAAAATATAAAAAAAAAATATTACTTAATAGTGTGCATAAACTATTTCTGAAAAAATTTTTTAAATCTTCAGTGGGTTTGTAACGGAGATTTTAATTAATTTACTTTTATATTTGGGATTTATGATTTAAAACTGTTAAGACCAATAAATTACAAGAAACTCTTATTGAACACAGACATAACTACTAAACATCTCATATGAGATCTAAAATTTAAGAATTTATTTTCTCTACCCTCACAAATGTTCTGTTATCAGAGAAAATTTAAAAATATCACTCTATGACATAATTTTGCTAGAAGTTCTACAGTTTGTACAAAATCTGACTCAGATATTTATTATCTTACTGGGTACAGTACTACAGGCTGAAATATTGATTGGAAATTTGCAAAGCATTATGATTAATATAGCCTTTACAACCTAGACATAAGAGTTACATTACATTATTAAGTTTTTTATTTGTTCTACTGATATTGACCTAGAAGTAGATTTGATGGCATTAGAAAAATTGGCGATAAAACTCTGATAATACTGATTTAAAAAGAAAAGATTCACGATCAATCACTACGTAACAAGTAGGCATGTTAATTGAGCTAAATTAACAACAGTGAAGGGCTCTTACCTGATGATAATATGCTTCGTATATAGCGCTGTGGGTCCCTGCCACCTGCAACCGTTCAAGCCCCATTTTCAGAACGTATACTTCACAATGAAAAAAACATTAAAAACGTATTTTGAACGGGTATGGGTGTGACATTTCTATATTCCTTACGGCTTTCTATACGCTCGTTAATAAACTATATAAAATTATAGTCCCAGGCCAACTCAGATTATATAAATCATAAAACACTTATCAGAAACTTTTCACTGTAATTTAAAACATAGTAATTAATATAATACGTGTTCAAATTACTGAAATATATTAAAATCTAGGGAGCGTAATCCGTTCATGATACACTAAACTTTAATGTCAAAAATGTTGGTGTTTTCAACGTCAACAAGAAATTTTCACTGCACTAAACCGTAGATACTTTGATTAACTTTACTTGGGATGCCGAACTTATTTATTTTCAGGAGTATAAACTACCTAAATCTCAAATAATTCTACCTGAGTAGGAGAAGGCAAGGCAGCCATTTTTTACATCTCCTCGTCGACCAATCAATAAGCGGTCATAGACTGAAGGATCTTTGACATCTAACAGGGCTCCTAGAGGTGGGATGTAATGCAACACTAACCAAATGATAGTCGAGTGGAGCATTAAAAATAAAACACCAATAGACATTTATTTTAACATTTAGTTTCATTTAGACACACGCTGCTTAAAAATCTTTACAAAAGTATCTAATCGACTTAAACCTAGTTTATTTATTTCAAAACAAGGTATAGTATTTAAATGATCCAACCACTCCTTTACTCTTTTATGGCGATCCAACATCGACACAAATGTTTCCAAAGAGCTCACTGTTGTGCCACAACATAGATCACTGAGCCGCATCTGTAAAAATATGTTTATTGTTAGTCTAGTTAGATATTCTTCTTATGTGATTTTCTATATATTCTAATTTCAAAAAATAATATAAACTGGTTATCCATTAGGGTGTTCGGTCAAAATTCAGTTCCGATCAACTATCGATCTCGCATCTGTCATAAAAAGTGTTTTCGTGGTAGAATAGTAAAGTATTTCTAAGACTAGCAGATTAACAATTAAATTTTCGGTTACATCATCATCAACAGCCTATAACAGTCCACTGCTGGACATAGGCCTCTCCTTAGAAAGGAGGTTTCAATATGAAATAATCATATTACAGTCAACGTTGGATGATTAATACTTTACTACGAAAATACCCTTTCTTCTTCTACAGTTGTAAGACCGAGAGTTAAATTGAATTGAATTGAATCGTGACCGAACGTTTATTACGAGAATTGGCCTTCTGTCGTATTTCTGTTGCTGAATACAGATATCGCAGTTCCTTAAGAAAAATATAAAGTTAAGTCTTGTGACTTGCTCACCAAATAGTTACCTTATCACCATTCAGAAACTTATTTCCGTTTAACTTGAATTCCAGATAGTCAAGTGCAGAACACCATTTCTTTATTTTCATTTCATCTGTTGCTTGACCCGCGAAAAATTCAGTCTGTAATTGAAATAAATGAATTGATCACTATGCGATCCGTTATCCAAACCTTGGAATTAAAATAAGTAAAGTAGCATTTTAACTACAATAGTTTATAGAAATAATATGAAAACTCTAGTTGGACTTAGAGTAAAAAACTTAAACATCCTGCAAATATTTTATAGCCATAATAGATCTACAGTTATAATAATAATAATATTCTACCACATACACACATCGCCATCTAGTCCCAAACTAAGCAGAGCTTGTACTATGGGTACTAGACAACTGATATAAATACATACATACTTTTTTTTTTGTAAATACATACATATTATACATAGAGACACCCAGACCAAATCAAACATCAAATGTTCATGCACACAAATGTTTGACTTGAGCGGGAATCGAACCCGCGACCTTTGGAATAGCAGTCCGTTACACAAACCACTACGTCATCCAGTCGTCAAATCTGTATAAAAAAAAACAATGTAAGATCTGCTCTGAATATCTAATTGGATTGGGAGATGTCGTACTTTACATTAATATTGCAGATACATATACTGACTGTTCTTTAGTGAGAATTGTACATCGTTAAGGATGCATGTACTACACGTTGCGCTACTTAAATTACGTTTGTCGTGGCTGGAGTTAAGGAAAAATCGCTAATCCCAGACTAGCGATTTTTGCTTAACTCCACCCACTCCACAATCCCGATGAACCAAGCCCAAATTTACGAGTAAAATGTGATTGAAATTGAGTTTATTTTGACAAGCAAAATTTAGCATAGCATGTATTCCTTTTTATTGAAAAACTAGAGACGGACACTCAGCAAAAGAAAAACTAAAGAAAAACTCCCGGAGTCAGGAAAATTTTAATTTTTTGAATATAACAGGATTTCAGGAGAAAAGCTCCGTTTTGTTGTAGGTATATACACAGTAGTGGTTTATATTATGTATAGTTATATTTTCAATTCATTTCAACCCAAACTCTACTCTTGTTTAATTGGGTCAAATATTATGTAGATACTTATATACTGAGGTGTCGGTTATTGGTAACAGTGTCGCGAGTTTTTTCCCCATCTCAAAAAATACATTCTTTTGTTTGCTGTTCAAAAATACCCAACACGCCTGAAGAAGTTATCACTTCAATAAGAAAAAGCTAGAAAGAAGTTGAGAATTACAATAAAAATCTTACAAAAATAGCACTATCAATCGGAAACAATACACCAGAATTAAAATACATCATCTCATCAATTTTGGTCCGTAGAACATTGTCTTCAGGGTACAATTCGTTGTCCTTTTTTATTCTGCACATATGTAATGCAATTGCATGACTGTCATATATCACTTGACCATTAATTGACAACACGGGCACTTTCTGCAAAGGGTTTATCTGGAAACATAAAAAACGAGAGAGCCTTAATAATCATAGTACATAACGAGTACCTAACATCTGACATTAGTAACACATAGTACCCCGCGCGCTCAATGTTCAAATCAAATAGCGCTTGCTTGCCTCCTTTTTGGAACGAAGTTCCTTATCGCGCGTTGTGAAAGGGGGCTAGACGGAAAAAAATCTCACGAAAAGTTGTAACGACACTTTTTATTTTGAATTGTCACTTGTCAGTCATTCAGCGCCATCTATCGAATAGATCGGAAATCATTACTTTTCATCTCAGGAAAATTAAAACGGGCACGCGCGCTCCTCAGCGCGTCTCACCGCCACCCCGGCCGGCTTCTGCTAGGGGGACTGATGGCCTCACCTGTCACCCCTAGGCCTGCGCCTATGGAGGACGGAGGTCGTTCTGCGACCTCCGGCGCCCGAGTCGTCTGCGGTATCTGGCCCGTTCCCGGGCCTGGCGGGTCGGAAGATTTCTAAACTTCTCCCGGTCCCGCTCCGCCATCTCCTTCGCGAGCATTACTTGTTCGTAAAAGGAGACGGCGGAGTTCCACGCACTCTCGCTTCGTACCATGGCAGTAATCATACTACCACAGGTGATCTCCGAAACAACCTTTCCCGGTGATCACCTGCGTCAGCCGGTATGAAAGGGTTCCGTGACGCCTCTCGAGCCAATCCTCCATAATGGGTCTTACCGCCGCAACAACGGCGTGCCCGCGCTTGCTTGCCTCCTGCTGTAACCACAGATTAGTATAATGTAACACACTTCCGTTCCGTTCCGTAGCAAGAGGAAAGATGTTACACATTGAAAAAATATAATACTATATTTTTGCATTTTAATAGACGCAACTAAGTAAAGATTTACTGTTTGCTAGCGTTTTGACCAGCATTTTAAGAAACTGGCATTGAAACTAGAATTTTGAGAAAACTCACACAAAGCCGTTTGATTCCAAACTAATCAATTCATTTGCTTACCGAGATTTCTTTAGGAGATAAACAAGGCCCCATATAATAGATCACTTATTGGCTAGTTCATTTCGAAGTCTAGTATGAGCTAGCATAAGGACAATTTTTTGTTCGCTCAGGCGATGAGATGATGCGTGCGGGTTTCCACACGATATTTCTTATAACTTTATAAATTATCTACAGTTTTATATCAAAAATAAAATTACAGAAACCATTACATTTTTTTCCAAAAAAGTAGGAGGTTCTCAATTCTTTTTGACGTTATTGACGGAAAAAAACTTGTTTATTTGGGAGGTATACTTAGGAGTTAAATTTGAAAGGTTGGTCCCGTTCCCAATTTGAATGGGACCCATCCATTAAAAAAAAAACACACCTAAAGGTGGAAAATTGGAAAGAATATAGATATTTTATACGATTCACCATGATGAAGGTGATGATTGAATTCGGTGATATTTTTTAAACGTTGATTTTTTTTATTTGTTTCGCTTGTTGTCTTTCTGTATTCTAATACAAATAAAAAATAGGAGTTTTCCATTACCAAATAAACTTATTGTCGTAGAAGTCGTAGGTTCGATTCCCACACAAGACAAAGAGTTGGGTGATGAACACTTTCATTTTTGTTTTGTGCCTACGTGTAATTTACGTATGATACCTACATATGTATAGTATGTATTTATTTAGTGATATATTGGTATTTACACTTGAGGCTTTTCAATATTATTATTATTACTATTAAATTAACCAACTGTAAATATGAGTATATGATTACCTTTGTATAAAATTTTGTTTTATTTTCTAATTTGAACAGGTCAATTTTGTGAAATTCCAAATCCATATTGAGTGTTGATGCCGTCATCATGACGAATCGGACAGGTGGTGACGCCTCGTCTCCGTACAGGATAGGTTTCTTTGAAAGCGACATATTCCTTGAAGTTTGAAATAATAAATAATTACTTAACTTAAAATAAATAGGAATGATTTTTAGTAATGTGGGTAGTATTAAATTTCCATTTTTTTCATCCAGATCCTAAAGTTGATGGCAATGGGCATGCCCAATTTATAATACGCCTACCCTTCGGATTATAAACGTGAGTGTACATATGTGTACATTTTTAGAGCAAAATTATTTTAATAAATGAAAAATATAGCTGTAATCGCCTTAACTCATTTGTTGTTTCTAAATACGTAATTATATTAAATGTGTGAACATTGTTTGTTAGTTATCCAATAACCGTAACTTTTTGTTAGCAAATAATTGTTTGTTATTAGACTTTAAGGGACAATTCCCGCACTAGGAATATATCCCGTGTCGCGTTACTGACGCGTCTTCACCTAGACTGAGAACAACAATTTGTGGATCGTACAGAGGGTATGTGAGGATCGAATCCGTAACACTCAGCGCAGTAGAAAGCGGTGAGATGACCACTCAAACCACTACACCATTCTTGCCGTTAAGTATCACAGTGCCATTATAGTCTGATAAATGTACATTAAGCTGAGCTTTTGGGCTGATGCCCGGGTCGGACTAAATGTTTGTATGTTCTGCAAATGTTTGCTTCGCAGAAGTTTGCTTTGGGTGTTTTCTATGTAAAGTATGTATGTATTTACAAAAAAAAGGTATAAGTATTCTATCAGTCTATCTAGTTTTCATAGTACAAGCTCAGCTTAGTTTTAAACTAGATGGCGTTGTGTGTCAGATGTCCGAACCATTATAAATATTATAATCTTTGTCTGTACAATTATAAAAATATCTTTAAAAGACACCTACAACTCCAGAGATCAAGTGTCCACGAACTTCATCAGAAATGTATTTAATAATTCGTAATAATTCATGTAATATTAGTTTATAATAATATGAATTTTAAAGCTCAAACAAAAAACTTTTTTTTCATTTGCAATAATGTTTATATTGACAAGTCTAAAGGGACGTGACAGAACCCATGTTTTCTTTTAATTACTAGAACAACACAACGTAACAATTCTAAAATTAAGTAATCATTTTCTTACCTGGTTGTTATCCTGACGAAAGGTTTAATAATCCGCATAGCACGAGAACCACCAACAAGATTCATTTTTTTTTAATTAAAAAAAACACGGAAGTAGCACTGTTCACAAGGAAATCCACAGACGGTATAAAATCATCTCAACGGACAAGCTTGTGAAAAAAAAAGAACAATACAAATGTATGCAAAATGATACGACGCCACGCGGAGATCAAATTCAATGTAACCGTTACTTGTTGCATATTGCATGTCTGTATATTTGCTGGGCAATATTTGAATTTAAAATTATGATCTTATTTTCAACTGTTCGTGGTGGCCGACTTCATTTTATAACGAGGGGAACAACAACAAAATTGTTTATTTTTTCACTTTTTTGATAACTCTGATCTATTTTTTAGGTAAAAAAACTATTTTTAACACCGGTATTTGACTCTCAAATATAAGTCGCTTATTATTTATTAAACATGAAAACGGTCTATTCTGTTTTAATTTGTATTAAGTAGTGCGTAATGACGTCATACCTAACTATTGACAATTCAATTACCTACTATTATCAAGAGATTTAACAATTTAAAGTAGTATTTAAAACAGTAACATGTATGGCTTTTCATAGTCTCATCATTAAATACTTAATATTACGAGGTCTGTTAAAAAAATAATTTAAAAATAGGAAACTACCCAAATTTTAGACGACTTTTTTAAAATAAGGATGATTGATTTATCAAACAGACTTTAGCAAAGACGACCTAACTAAAATTATCAGTTAAAACCATAGATTTAGAATTACATACTCCATACAGAGAAAATCTTTTTAGAGAAATAACTAAAAAAGATCTCTGTTCTATCAAATATAGGTTTAAAAATGCTAGCTTACGACAAACCACTGTCATGAATTCTACAAAAAATTAGTACTCAACCAAAAAATTTTTTTCCCAAAAACAAGAAATTTTAAGTAATTGCTTCACTATTTTCAAGGACTACAATGAAAAATTAAAAAGTTTGAAAACAAAACGCGGGCTAAGAAACTAAGAAATGGGTGCTGCAGTAGCAAAAAGTGTTGTGGCTACACAGGGACTAAAGTGAGTTTTATTTTGTAATGGACTTTAGATAGGACTATAGGGACTAAACTGTACAGCATCATATTTGATGAATAATCTACACTTTATACAGTTATTTGTGTAGCTCAATATCCTAAAATGCTAATGTGTTTGTTTGAGTTTCACGCTCGCTTTAGTTGTGACTCCTGACAAAAAGCTTCACTCCCTGATGCTGGACCCCCCGTTGGGTCTGAAACTCATGGACCATCCCTGAATTACGCTTTTTATAGTAGGCATAAGGAGGCAAACAAGCAGACTGTACGTATTGCGTAGTATTCAAGCGCTTACCTCGCCGCTTCTTATTGCGCCGCGTGTTGTGGGTTCAATCCCCATATGAGACAAAACTTTATGGGATACACAAATCGTAGTTCTGAGTCTGGGGGTCCTTTATGTCCGTTAAATGTATATTTGTGAAGTCCCCCGCAAAACAGGATATATTCCGAGTGCGAGGGTTGTGTTATAATATAAAAACCTGTCACCTGATGGTAAGTAACTACCGCCGGTCATTGAAATGAGACACTTTAACACCCCCCCCCCCTCTTAAGTGTCTCAGCCCCGTGTCTAAATAACTAAAGACTTGCTCAACACCGGTTTACTGTAAAGTGGTATCACTCCTACCGATCCAGTCCTTGTTCAGGAGTTCTTGAAAAAATAAAAATGCACCTCACCCCTAGAAATTATCTATGTAGATATGAATTTTCTTCTCTCGTGCCAGACACTGTACACTTTGGAAGGCAGACCGCAGCCCAGCATGCAGAGCCGTCATGATGGCACTCGACAGCATGAATCTTAGCATAACAGAAGTGGACGTCAATATGGATAAGGGAGAGCATAGAGGACCTGATATAGCTGCTGTAAGTTATCTTATATCTATTCTTTATTCTTTCACCTTGTTCTCCTCGTGTTTCTGGAGTTCCTGTTTCAAAGTTTTTCATTTAATGTTGTTGTATACATTTGAATCCGTCCGTTGTCTGTGTGGTGATGGATTAAGAATACAGAGTGTCACCAACCCTATTAATCCCCTGGGTGTTGTAAGAGCCGACTAAGGGAGCAAACTACGAAAGACCACAGCCATGCAAAGAGCAGGAAAACTTGAAATATCCCTATACCAATCCGTCTGGCCAGCGTGGTATAGTCAACCAAAACCTCTTTGCTAAGAAGAGGCCTATGTCCAGCAGTGAACTAGTAAAGGCTATTGATGATATATTTAAATATCCTATTAATATATGAAACGCATAAGTTTGTATGGACGATGTATGGACTTTACTTAATTCCGCCAGAACGGTTGAACTCATCTAGTACAGTGAGAGATGGAATCTTCTGGAATAGCACATATGCTACATTTTATCCAGGCAATATTGATTGACAAAGAGCATTAGTTAAACATTGTTTATTATTTTACAATATTGTTTGAAATGCGTCTACTTCTTTATGCTTAATTAAAACTTGTGTTCTTCTGCAGTTAAATCCGCTTCTAACTCTACCTGTATTCAAGGACAGAGAACTGGTACTCGCCGATAGGTAAGAGCCCAAAAATAACTGCAATAACAAATTCCTATAGATAATTATTATGTATGATTTCCATCAAAATTCATATCTAGACAAAATTTCACAGTAAAAAAACATATTTTACAAAAAAAAACATCATGCGAAGTTGGGTCATGAAGACAAAACAAAGTTTAAAAATAAATCTGACAGCAAACCTTGTGTTTTTTTATTGTATATTTATTTGTTACACTATGGAAGATTTACAGCTATGGAAAACCAGAATATAAGCCATAATAATAATAATCATTTGACATATGTATCTCACACGGCAGTTTGATCCAATACAAGGCAGAACCTGTACTATGGTAACCAGACTGCTGATACATACACATTTCTAAATACATACATAGATATTATAGATAAATTACACCCAGACACAACAAATGATCGTACTCATCACACAGTTGGCAGTGTACGGCTTAACAGTCAAGGTCTCAAGCCACTAGTCAAAGATCGATAAAGCTAATAATTTAAGATTACGGTACTAAATAGTTATCTTTGAATCGTACATGTTAAACGAACTTAGTTACTATATTTGGATTCTTAAAGTTTAATTTAATTTCCAGCCATGCGATTTGCACATATCTAGCGAGTCGTTACTGCGACTCGAACCATATACTGCCTCAGGATCCCGGAGGTCGGTCAATAATTGATCAGCACTTGCATTACAATAGCAGCATACTCTATCCTAGGTTTCGCGCTGCTGCTGTAAGTATTTTTTAAGGTTTTTTGTGCATCCCTGAAAAAAAAAAAGTGATGTGACGGATTAAGAATACGGAGTGTCACCACCCCTATTCATCCCGTGAGTGTCGTAAGAGCAGACTAACGGAGCAAACTACGCAGGACAACAGCACTGCAAAAAGAAGGAAAACTTGAAACAAACCCTATACCAATAGTGGTATAGTAGGCCAAAACATCCTTTCTAAGGAGAGGCTTATGTCCAGCAGTGAACTATTAAAGGTTGATAATGTCGATGATGATTAAAAAAAAAAAAACAGACTGACACGTAGTAAATAAAAAAGTCTGTGGTTACATGCTACTAGCTGTCATAAACAAATTCGGTAGAACATCAAGCATATCATAATTTGTTAGGGGAAGTTTAATGAGTCATTTATTAAAACAAAACCGAATCTTATTAAAAAAAGTTAAGGTTATAGGTATTTAAACTAAACTTTTTATTTAAAACGTAGTTTAACGTTAAGTTTTTTTTTAATCATACGTATGTTCTTTGTTTTTAGTACCCAATTTTATATGAAAACTGTCACTTTGTGATGCCTCAACAAATCATAGACATTGAAGCCGCCTACGCCGACTTGGACGCCATGTTAGCTGGACGCGAGTGGTTTGGTGGCACCTGGGTTACACTGAGTGATATAGTGTTTTCTTCCACAATCAGCACATTGAATGTACTTGTACCAGTCGATAAACAAAAGTGGGTTACGTACATAGCTTACATAGTTCTTAAATATATTTTTCTAGTGTCTCATAAACATGTTTTTATTAGGTTTCCACGACTAGAAAACTGGCTTCAGCGGGTGTCAGAGGAGCTGTTTTATGTCACTGCAAACAAGAAAGGGCTCGGTGAATTTGCGCGAAAGATAGGCGAGTTATCAATTGTAAAACAGTCCGTTAATTAGTCAACAGATGTAGTTCATGTTTTTCAAACGATATGTCTGTCAACATTAGATACCGGCTGTAATGACGAGAATGAGTTCACGTGTCCACGCAGTTCTGTGAGAAGACGCACCCTTGCAAAAGACGATTATGTCAAATAGATTTATTTCGTACGATTGCCAAAGTGAAGAGATTTTAATGGCGGGGCCAATTCATGTTCTTGTTGGTACTGCGCCTACAGAAACTAAATATTGAAATGTTTTTTGGAAATATATTTCTATAAATTGTTTGAAGTACGATTGGGTATTTTTATTTAGTTTTTTACTATATTTTACAAACATAGGTACCTACATGATCTTAACGAAATTGTAGAACTATCTAATCGATAGTATACCTCATATTCCGGCCTTCATAGTGTGCGAATATAATATGTCTATGTATCTATATAAACATAATTAAACATATATGTATGTGTATGATTGTATATGTGTGTATTTATGATGTGTTGTGTTGTATATGAGTATGTATAAGTTTGTGTATGTAGCGAACCGTTGCATATATTTCATTAATTACTTAATATATTAAGACGTAACCTCTGTGCACCTACCTTACAAGATTTCTACACCACCGAAAGGTTGACTGGAAGAGAATGCCCTGGGCATTAAGTTCGCCAATATACAAAAGTGCATAAAGTTAAATAAATAAAATAATTATAGAGATTTAGCACATTTTTACCACGCTTTTACTAGCTTCACCTGCATGTGTGTATGTGTGTATTACATGTAGGTATATAAGGCAATCTTTTATATTGATTTTTACCCACTCTTTACATTTACTACTTAGGACTGATGACAATACAATATTTTGATAAGTTTATTGACGTATTTTTCTATAACAAACGCACAGGAGTCACAAGCGCGTTGCCGGCCTTTACGAGCACGCTCATGAAGGTCGTATCGGTCCGGAAATACCAAGGTCGAGGGCTGATTGGAGATCTTGGAATTTTAGCACTAACTAGCCGAACTAAAAAAAGAAAATAATTTTCTGTAAGATAGAAAGAAAGAGAATAAACTTTAATACGGTTTTTTTTTTATGGAATAGGGGGCAAAGGAGCAGACGGGTCACCTGATGGAAAGCGACTACCGCCGCACATGAACGTCTGCAACTCAGAAGTCACAAGCGCGTTGCTAGCCTTTGAGGAAGGAGTACGCTCTTTTCTTGAAGGTTTGAAGGTCGTATCGGTCCGGAAATACCGCAGCCGATAACTTGTTATTGAACTATGAGGATCTCGTGTCAACTAGATTTTTGGTTTGGTTGATTCTACCATAGATATTGTAGGCATCAAATATTTTTAGCTCACCCATAATGTATTGTGTCCGTGTTTCTTCTCTGTTTGATATGGTGTATGGTATAAATCATTTATTCTCAAAAATACAATACAAAAGCCACATGCATGAGAATACAAAATAATATTTTTCTTAAATTAATTATGAAGTACCGGTCACCGAAATAGATTAACTAAGTAATAATAATGAAGTCTTAATTTTATAAGTAATATAATCTATGATTCTATACAATAAAATCAAATATACAGATACCAATTAATTTGTAAGTATGTAATACAAACTGGACACATGCTCAACAGGTAATATTGTAAGTACATAATAAATTATAGTTTAAAAAACTAAAAAACACGCTTTTGTTACTAGACTATACTAGACGAAAAGTCGTTAATCGTAAAAATGTGTGGGAAGCTAGATCTTAATTGTTGTAAAAATATTTTATTGGCAGATATTGTAAAAGAATAGTTACCAAAGCGTGTTTTTGAAACTATAATTTATTTTTGCTTTTTTAGTCATTAATGATGTTTTTTTTGTTATTATGACTAAAAAAGTAATAAGTAAAATACTTCAGCACACGACTCTTAGTACGTTGCAAAAGACAACCGTATTTTTAGTTATGGAAAAAGCCGTTAATCCCGAAGATCCTGATTAGGATAATCGGCCAAATTCATCAGATTATTGTATTGTCATCGGTCCTTGATAAGTGTGCAAGTTTCAAGTCAATTCGAAGTTTTGAAATGGGTCAAATCACGATCGAAGATTCCGTTACATAGATACTTACATACCGAGCTAATTAAAGCGTGTTAAAAATCAATCACTTCCTATATCATTGCGCTGAACACTTTTATTTTCCCCTAGATTATTGTTAACTTATATAGGAAATTTTGGTAAATGATAAGTTAGTTTAAATTATTTATCCAAGATGACTGCACGGATGGCGTAGTGGTTTAAGCGGTCGCCACGCCGCTTCCTACTACGAATCAGTCCCAAAAAAACATGACAATTACTTATTGTACTACTTATTTTGTATTTTAAATGTAAAATTTATTGAATGAGCGTATTGACGAAACGTTTAGGCGTTGACATCGCCTTGTAAGTCGACGAAAACGTACCAACTTACTACCAACTAAACAACTGAACAATGAATTCCACTAGTCCATTAATAATAAGTAATGAGTAGCTAAACCGATTGTAGGACATCTACGGTCAAAAAATAAGTTTGTTTACACAACTTTTGTGGATAAACATAATCGATCGATTAATCTTGTCTATCATGCATGCGAACACTAGCTTCAAATTCATCTGTCAGTGCTGTCATGTTTCTGCATCAGTGCTGCCAACTCCTGGATTTTCTCCTTAAATTTAGGGAGAAAAAATCTATTAAGGAGATTATTAGGGGTTAAATTTGTTTTGTGTATTTTTAGAGATGATTTAATTAATAATTTTTAATAAATTTTACATTTTTTCTAAGTGTATCAAGAATGCTTAAAAAAAATATATTTATTTATTTATTGATAGGAAACTCAACAGCTTTTTACATTATACATTCATATTTACAATAAATTAAATTCTTAGGCCTATTACAGAGTTTCACGACATTCGCTATATAAAACTAGAAAATAAAGTATCTTATAACATTACACTAATAATAAAAAACATAAATCATACAATAAATAAACAATAATCATTAAATCAAATCAAACGGAATCAAATCAAATTAAACTTACATTCAACTAAAATATAAAATAATCAGAATTAAACCGAACCAACTTGATTTGATCAAAATAAATCAAACCTGACTAAACCAAATTACGTCTAACTGACTCAAATAACAATACAATAAATCAATAAGAAATGAATTGAGAAATGAACTAAAAAAACTTAGTCCGTCGTTGGGGAGTTTTGGTGTGAAATAAGTGGTTTTTTAAACTGCTTTAGGGGAAAGTTTTTAAACAGTTGGCAATACTGGTACACATTTTGTCATTTTAGATTTTGCATTCGAATACAATACAATCATGCAGTACATTTGTTGTGGATTGTGGGGGAGGGATGAATGAGTGAGGAGCACCTAACGTAATTAATTATGTAGATTATCAAACATTGTTACCTATTGTTTGCCCAGAATTCACAAGGGAAACGTGAAAAGTTCATTGAGGATTCTCACGGAAAGTAACGAAAGTTGTTGAGAAAAGTTTGTACAGTGTTATGAATCGTGTTGTGGACCGTGTTTTGAAGCAGTTCCCGTCACCATGCCATTCGTGTCGTGGTAACCGATAATAAACTGGTATTGCGTTACACAAACGCAAATAACTTCGTGTTTACGGATTTAGGTGACTCTATTTAAGAAAGTTTTGATACTTTCTACTGTCGCGCACCAGCGATGGCGGGTTTCCAGACGAGCGATACGATGCCCAAGTTCGGACACGTGACGGATCTTCGCGAACAGTGGTTAGTTCGTACCGATGGTGCCCTTGCCAACCGTCTACAAGATCGTGAGATATCCTCTCATCTCTGTGAGAACAGATACCGTAATCAACAGATTCGTGAAGACTTTCCGATCGCGTTGAACGAACAGAGAGATATTGAACATGAGATCCACTTGCGGGAGCTCACGCGTCGGCGTCAAGCCGAAATTGATGCTGAAATTGCCCGAGAAATGGCAGAGATTAATTTAAGGAGACAAAGACGGCAGCGAAGCAGTGATATGTTGCAACAACCCAGTTCTTCCCGTAGCGCAGCACCTGTACCCCTTCCAGGTCCACAATCTATGTCCGTACCCCTGCCGACTAATGATCTTAACCCAGAAGAATTGGGTCTGTCACCTGATGAGTTAGAACAAATGAGACAGCGGCTAGAGCAAGAAGAGAAAGACGCAAGACTTGCAAGAGAATTGAGTAGTAAAGATAATAATCAAGATGCTCTTCTAGCTGACATGAGATGTGCTGTAGAAGCCCAGGATGGTGAACTAGCTAGACTACTTCAAGAAAGAGAGTATAAAAAATTACAAAAGGCCAAAGAAAAAGCAAGGCAAAAAGCTCTGTTAAAAAAGCAGCAGAGAATGGCAACACAGCAACAACAGCAGATGTTGCCTCATGAAGATGAACCACTACCCACTCCTCAAGCTACTCTTTGCGATGCATATAGTAATCCTCGTGATATCATACGGGAGAATCGGCTCAGGCTCTGTAAATCTGTTGACTCTGACCTGAATTATGTTGAACCATTTGAAAAAGAGTCAATCCAATCAAAGACGAGTGCTCTTCAGTCATTAGAAATGTCAAAACAGTATTTTGCTGATCAGTCTGAAGCTGGTACTTCAAGTAATAAGATGTCTCATAATCATTCAATATCATATGACGAGAAGAGAGTGCCATACAATCCTACACCAATACAACATAGACATCCTCCCCCGCCACCAACTACAAGCAAAAAACCTCGTTTTCCTGATCCTGTTAGCATCAGGCCAGCTTCACACTACCCTACAGATAACCCATTGCCTGATAGTGGTCCGTCTGTAAGCATACCTCACAGTTATAGCGAGAATAACAATTTATACAGTGCTACATATCCACCCGATGTTAGTCCACCACATTTGGGCCAAAACCGAAATGACAACAGTAAAAGACTGTCCGTTATATCAGATATAACTGCGGAAGGTCTGGCCAAAAAGAAGAGTAAGCAAGCTGATGTGAGTAAGAAACGTAAAGGATGCAAGATACAGTGATTGTGTTGTGTGAACCAGTCCTGGAGTGTGGCATTTCAAAGATTAGTGGTAAATAATTATTATATGCTAAGTTATACCGGTGGTGGTAGCTTGAAAATTTAATTAATCTTATTATAAATTATAAGTGATTTTATGGACCTGGTGTTGAATAGATAAAATACTAGAATACTTTTTATTAGCCAACCCGTAATTAAAATTTAGACATTTAGACAGACAAAATTTAGTTATGCCATGTTAGACATTGCATATGCTGAAAATATAAGACTAATAAAATAGTTTAGTAATATCAAACTAAATCCAATTTAGTTTACCAATGTTATTTATTAATATAGCAACATTGTTTTTCTCAATACTTTTGTTACATTCTATTTTCAAATTAGACCAGGAATTTATGATAGACTTTGTTTAACAGTCCAATATGTATTCAAAGGTTTTGTATCTGTTCAACACCATGTGAACAATGGTTATCTGAATTGTCTTATTATTCTAAACTGAATAATATTTAAATCTCGAATAACTTTTCTACTGACATTTTGATCTATAGAGCACATTCCTGCTCAATAATTTTTTTTTAGGAGTTGCCAGATGACAATTTTATATTTTTAATTATTAATTATTTATTCTTACATTCTAAGGGTAGTTTGCCAATTTACATGACATATGTATAGGCCTGTTGTGTCAATTGCCGGCATCAGGCTCTTACTCCAGTAGAGGTAGACAGAAACATATTCACCACCCACAATCTTATTCTAACACTCCATGACATATTTTACTATTAGTTGTTATTACTACTTAACCTCATTGAAATAGTGACACCGCTGTCCTGTACAGACGTGATATGTAATGTTAAACTGCCGAATACAACCCATAGCGTCATTCACATTTCTACCAATGTTAACGCCACAAGTGACAATTAGAATATACCTTTTTTGCCCGTTTTAGATACCTACCGCCTAATGTCTCCCATCCTGTAATAGTTATGATTGACCAAACAATTGGTATGATAGTATACCTTTTCAATTTTAAACTCATTCTATTGTGAAATGTGTATCATTTGTATTATTTATCGTATTGCCTTGTTCCTTACGTTTTCAAAAAAGGGGTAAAATACCGGAAAAATCATTCAAAGCGTTTCTCCCTGACCTATTTTCCAAAATTTTTTTTGGTTTGACACACTTGCAGACAAGTTTCTGTTAAAAAAAATATTTAGTTTCTTTCTTAAACATTTGAAACCACAACTGTTATTAGTACAGTTAAATAAAACTGTATTTTTTAATAGTTATATCTCGAAATAATAAATCGTAGAAAGAAAATAAGTATGAAACTCATTCTAATAATTTACATAAGTCTGTTAATATTAAGACTTAGTTTTCTCTAAATGAGATTAACATACGTAGCTCAGACTTAGATATTTTTCTCGAATCCTACACTTTATACTTAATTTTTTTATCGAAGTATCTATCTAGTATAATTATGGAAATAATAAATTCATTTCTCATTGACCGACTTAAATAGTAATAAAAATACCGAATAAATACAAGAATCTGAACTTAAATTACATAATACATACTTGACATGGTAAACAGCTCATTATCATAACTACTTAGGTCGTTAAACATCTGATAAGATTTATTTCTTCCCATTTCTCTACAATTGGGTAGATAAAAATAAAAGCATCCTTAATGGTCTAAGAACGATGATCTAATCTAGGTATGTTACCTTCGAATCTACTTTTGGTAAACTAGTATTGACAGAACGTGTGATCCATTTTAAGGCAGTCAGTCAACAGTTATCCTTAGGCCATTGCATAGGTTTGTAAACTGTCAAAGTCTTCATGGCCTTTCGAATACAGGATGATCATACGGGTACGAGAACTTTTCGAGCTACTGCAGTCTCAATCGCTCCCCATCCAAGACTTACGCCATCCCTTACTCTAGCTATCTTCCTCTATTCATTTGAACTACCCAAAAATTATCTTTTTCTTTATTTCGGTCTGCAAACGATTACTTACCATCCCTAGGATGGTTGGCGTGAGGCATTCTTGCCAAGAGAAAGAAACCAGCCAAAACCTAATACACATTATGCCGATTACAAATAAAATTGGCAAAAAGGGAGAGAAAATTATGATTTTTTGTTAAATTTACCGAAAATTTTTATACATTAATTTTGTTTGTAAGTTTATAACTTACAACTTAAACGGTAGAATAATAAATATAAAAGTAAATATACTAGTTTCCCTGTAAAAGTACGAAGGGAATGATGAGGTACATATGCTTATAACGATCTACAATAGATTAAGATAATCATCAACAGACCACATATTAAATATTCCTGACTGATTTGTCATATATATATATAAGCGACAATAACTTCGGCCGATACACCATTTAAAAAAAAGAAACGTGAATGATACTATAGGAATCCTTGCAGAAGTACCTGCAGAAACCAATGAGCCATTATATAGGTATATTCTAGGGTTAACGCGTGCCTTGTATAGACTAAGTTATGTTTTAATCAAACATTCCATTTTATAAATAAATATTTTTAGGTTATGTCTCTCTAAAGAGTCTGATAGATTTGTTGAAACTTTTTTAAGTTAATACGTACTATTTACCCTCAAAACTCAAAACGTAATTTAAATGTAAGTCGTGACTATGGATATTAGGGAATCGGAACTGAAGTTTTATTTGTCACAAGGTGCTGCTTGTAACTTCGCCTAAAAATTTCACCTATAGGTACACTTTATAGGTTACTATTTCTATTTGTCAATATCTAAGTAACGATAAAATATTGTTAGGTACTTCACCAATAACCCGTCTCATTGAATCTTTATTTAGTTTTTGGCGGGAATCAAATCAAACCTATTTGAAGTTATTAAAAAAAATAGATTCACTGCCTGAATCATAGTCAAAGTTAGGAGGCGGGTAATGAGGTTTCAGCTAGTGAAATCGCTACACTGAAATGTTCCGTTAAACCTAACCTTAGTTCCGAACAGTAAACCGTCACGAATCTTGAGCACAAATATAATTTTATTTTACTAAAATATTTTTTTATTCCAGTTATTATGCATAAAACTATTAAAGTTTTATCCCGGCTGTACACATTCCTCGATGTTCCGTAACGTAACTTTTTTTTAAATGTAATTATTATGCCAACTAGTACGTCACAACTCAAAATCATTGCTAATAGATGATTTTGAGTAGTATCAACAAATGACAACTCAAGATTCCTGGCAGTTGCTAGTTTATGGTCATATAGAAATTGTTTCATAAATGGTATAAGTCGTGGTCTCTCTCTTCTTGAATCTTGTTTTACGAAAAAATAATCCTGATTATAATTATTTGATTTGTTTAAATAAAAATAAGTTTAAGTTATATAATTATTGTATCACTGTTATATTCTAAGAGCCCAACTTGTACTTAATATTTGCAAAATCGTAAGACTGATTTTAACGTTAACCTTTTTGTAACAATTTATTGTTCAAAGGTGGTACTCCACTATATAGGTGCTGATTAAAAGATTTAAATTTACACTACCTATTCAGAAAATGACATGAAAATATATGCACATTTTAATGCAACATATAATTTATTTAAATTTGTTTTAAGCAATGAATCTCAATTTTCGGAATATATTGATGTTTAAATAATTGAAAAGCGTCATAGAAACATTGTACGTAAATACACAAATGCATACAATAATTAAACACTCATAACAAGAAAAAAATCTCTACTCGTTCAGGACCAGCAGTGCTATTCTCTAAAGAAACAGCCCTGCGTACAGCGCTGCCAGAGCGTCGAATTTCAAACTACCTTAGTTTCCTTTTTAAACGTTAGGGGCTTTTTCCTTAGAGAATAACACTGCATCTTGACGATTTTACATTAAGATGCAAAATTAGCAAGTTTCAAAATATCCGACAGTTAGATGGTAAATTTTTACCAATAGTCTTTTTACACTCAAAATCCACATGCAAAAATGGCCTTTGTATTGATTAAGATATGCCTGTGTGTTGTATGATTACCATGATCGTCTCTGTGTATGCAAATGTATTACGTCATAAAAGCACATCACGTCAGTAGGAAGTTTTTTTTACGTTCACGATAACTTTCTCTGTCAGATGAGAGCTATTCAACAAGACGCTTATCTTTAATGACAGTCGTTACATATCCCCGTTATTCAAGTTTATGTAATACTAGTTGAAAACTAAATATGATTGAATAAAACAAACAAAATGTTGATTTTATTTCGAGTTTTTAATTATGTTCTTTTTCGTTCTCACGAATGGCAGTCTTCAAGGACAATATTCTACAATTGTTTATGTTAGAATTGACTTAAGTTTAAAAAATATATCGAACTGTTTCTAGATTATGTGTGCATATTAACAAGTTTTCCGCCTGAGTATTTTTTAAATATTGTAAGTTGTCTATTTCATATAAATCTGTCAATATTCAAAATTAGATCAGCGTACCAATAGGCAGACAGTGCTTTTAATTTTATACCGGATCACGGATGAACTGCAGTTGGGGCTTCCAACAGTGTCGAAATATCGGAAACTAATTCCTGAAAATAATAAACATGGTACATATCCCGTTTAACTCGTCAAGCGGAGTTTACTTGATCAATAGGTAATGACATAGCTTTCAATTTCCGGATTTCTTGACCAGATAGCATTGGACTTGTACACAGGTTGACTCATATAGCATGGAACGCAGAGTTTAAAACCTAGTAACAAATTACAGTGAATCTTGTTATAACAAAGCTAAAGGGAGTTCAAACATATTTGTTATTATAAGGTTTGTTATATAATAGTTCGATTCGTCTTAACAGGGTAAAAAAATTTGGTCAGTAGTCCCCGCTGTAACAATGTTTCTACTCGCCATGTTATTGCGAACGATATCCCCTATTGAATTAAAATAATTCTCTATGCTCAGAAAAGGTTACGAAACATCTTTTTTGTTTAGTCGTTGCATCTTTTCTGTATTTAAAGCAATAAAAAACAG